AGCCTACAGATTTCCTTAAAGGGGTCACCAGAGAATCAAATGTGAGATAGTAACTTCCTGTACACAAATTCAGAAATCTGCCCACAAAAATGTGTAGCTTTGCAAATGATAAGCTATTCTTCCCTATGTCCTTCTTTTGTAGCCCCAACTTGTTTCCTACCATTTAAAAATAACTTCTGATGCAGCTAAGGGGCAAGGGCTTGTCCCAACCTCTGAATACATAATTCTTAGGCAGATCTCACTCTAATTGTGTTTCCAAAGCAACTCCTGGACACAGTTAAATAACAGGATCACAAACCAGCACCTATGGGCTAAATTTGTCCCACATTATATAATCCAATTTTAAGCACCTGGGCATACACTCTCTAGTTTTCACTATGATTCCTACAACTCCCTATTAAGTAACACCTAGCCACTTCTTAATTTGTGTTTGTGTCCTGGTCCCTGAAGATAAATATGAGTTTATGATCCTTTTATACAGAAACCATCTCCAGGGGCAGTTATTTTAAGGGCATCTACTTAGACACGCACACAAAAACTTTTATATTAAAAAAATTTCAGAAATACATTATATAGGTTTATGCTATTTGACTTGGTGGTACTTTACATACTCCTTTTAAGTCTCACTCTTTATGTACTGCTGTAAGTCCTAATCACTGAAATCTTATGTTACATAGCAAGGAAGAATTAAGGTTGCAAATAGAATAAAGGATGCTAATCAACTGACTTTAATATTAAAAGATTATTCTGGATTATCCAATGGGACAGCTTCAATCACAAGGATCCTTTAAATGTGGGAGAGGAAGACGGCAGAGTAGCAACACAAAGCAGTTAGCATTGAGTCTCTGGGCCAGCTTTGGTTCAGGACTTACCCAAGAAAATTGCTGACCGCCTGGGCCTGGAGCTAGGCAAGGTGGTGACTAAGAAATTCAGCAACCAGGAGACCTGTGTGGAAATTGACAAAAGTGTACGTGGAGAGGATGTCTACTACATTGTTTAGAGTGATTGTGGTGAAATCAATGACAATCTAATGGAGATTTTGATCATTATTAATGCCTGCGAGATTGCTTCAGCCAGCCGGGTTGCTGCAATCAGCCCATGTTTCCTCTGTGCCCAGCAGAATAAAAAGGATATGAGCCAGGCTCCAATCTCAGGCAAGCTTGTGGCAAACATGCAATCTGTAGCAGGCACAGATCATATTATCACCATGGACCTACATGCTTTTTAAATTGAGGGTTTTTTAAATATCCCAGTGGACAATTTGCATGCAGAGCCAGCTGTCCTGAAGTAGATAAAAGAGGATATCTCTGAGTGGAAGAACTGCATTATTGTCTCACCTGATGCTGGTGGAGCTAAGAGACTTCACCTTGATTCACAAAGAATGAAAGAAGGCCAGGAAGTGGACCGCATGGTGCTAGTAGGAGATGTGAAAGATCTGGTGGCCATCTTTGTGGATGACATGGCTGACACTTATTGTACAATCTGCTATGCAGCTGAAAACCTCTCAGCTGGAGCCACCAAATATGCTACCTTGACTCATGCGATCTTTTCTGGTCCTGCCATTTCTCTCATAAACAATGCGTGCTTTGAAGCAATAGTAGGCACCAGTACCATACCTCAGGACGAGATGGAGCACTGCTCCAAAATACAGGTGGCTGACATCTCCATGATCCTTGCAGAAGCCATCTGGAGAACTCACAATGGGGAATCTGTTTCCTACCTTTTCAGCCATGTCCCTTAATAACAATAACTTCTGAGGTTTTTTAAAAATAAAATCAGCCCCACACTGTTTTCCCTTGGTATTTGATGGCAAATTTGGCAGAAGACCCAACTCGCTCCAGTGTAGCTTTCTACATCCCACATCAGATACATTAGAGTTTATCCTAAATTGGGGAAAGATAGATTGAGATAAACTGCTGAGATTTCCTACCTGCTTTGTCTCATTCTGGCTTCCTTGATGATTCTGTGAGCCTTACAGCTTTAACTACAGCTCAGCTGCTGCAAGATTTCAAAATTTGAGGGTGTTATAGAGGGGTGTGACATGCAAATACTTCAGAGTTTCCTTTGTTCGTAACAACTGGCAATCAATAAAGCTAACCAGTTTGTGACAAGTTCTCTAAGGTCTCTGCTAAATTACAGCAAGAGCCCCGGGCAACTCCAAACCTAATCGTGGTAGCTGAGCACCCTGTAAGACAGAAGCAGGCAGCTCAGCTCGAGCAGCTATTTGGTGTGATCACGGGGTGAGGTAGGGGGGACACAGGAGCACAGTGCAGCAACTGCTTCTTGGGAAGAAGAAGCCTGATCCATCACCATCTGCTTGATTGTACCTTAGATTCTCCTCTGTACCTGTTCCTTTCAATTTGGCTTTACCTTCAGCCATCTTGTTCTTTTCCTGGACAAATATTCTCTTAGGCCCAAATGATCATTGTGTCTTAGTTTTCTGGAAAGCAAACTCCTTTCTTGCTATGTAATTGTTAACATTCACATTAGAAAATCTGCTGTAGCTTAATCTTCTTTAGCCTACTGCCACCATGGTAGTAGATTTTAGGTAGTGTGGTAGTGCTGTTACCAAGTGGCAGTTCCAAGTTCTTGGTCTATCCGTGAAAAAAAAAAAAAAAAAAAAAAATTTCACAGGGCCAGTGAAAGGAAAGAAAGACAGGGACAGAGAAACGGAACATAACAGAGCTTTATAGCTTTATTCCAAGCTAAAGTATATGCTGAAAATAGTGCATGGGCTTCCCTGCATGCATGCCTCCCAGATTCTTAAGGGGAGGGTTTATACGTTGTTCTGGGAGGGGATGTTTCTCTGTCCGAATTATGGGAAGGAATATTTGGCCGTGGAGGAAGACCTAAGATAATTAAGGCTTAATGAGGTTGCATCAGCTTCCGGTCATGCATCCCTGAGTTTCTGAAGTTTCCAGTCATGCTCAGGACTTCCCTGTAACCTTTTCCGTGACAGGTGAAAGGTTGTAATGGCGGTGGTCTGCATGTTTTCCTCCTAGTGCACAGGTGCAGCTGTGTAGCGTGCTGATTGGTAGGGCAGTAAGCTGTGGTCAGCACATTGAGCCCATTAACTGCCAGGCAACGAGGCAGGCCGTGCTGATCCAGTGTGAATATCTGTGAGCAGCCTCCCCGGGACGTGTCCCTATTCTGTCCTGCTTCGATGCCTTCTGATTAAGTATTTAATTTTCATCTTCCTTCCTTGAATCTGTTCTGCACCTAAAATGACCTGAGATTTCTGTCTCCGGCAGAGGAAACTAATAAAGTGTGTCTGTGTGTGAAAAACAAAATAAATAAATAAATGGGAACTGGTGGGCAGAAGAGTGTCAGTGTGATGCAGTATGAGAAAGATTCCACAAGAAGGGGCCTGGAACCAAGAAATGAGGATTGCCTCTAAAACCTGGAAGACAAGGAAACACTCTCGTGGAGAGCCTCCAGGAAGGAATGCAGCCCTGCCCACACCTCGATTTTAGCTGAGGCCCATTTTGAACTTCTGACCTACAGAACTGTAAGATAAATTTGTTTTGTTTTGTTTTGTTTTCAAAAGATGACCGATATGGGGATCTTAACCCTTGACTTGGTGTTGTCAGCACCATGCTCTCCCAAGTGAGTTAACCGGCCATCCCTATATAGGGATTTGAACCCGTGGCCTTGGTGTTATCAGCACCACACTCTCCCAAGTGAGCCACAGGCCGGCCCTAATTTGTGTTGTTTTAAGCCAACAAGTTTGTGATAATTCATTATAGCAACAACTGAAAACTAAAAGAGTATTACAGAACTTGAAAAATGACATTCCTTTTGAATCTATCCTAAAGATTTGGCAATAAAAACAAGAGTTTGTATACAAATACTGTAACAGGAAAAGAAAAAAAAATCCCAAGTATCCAATAATAAAAATGCAGTTAAATTATAGCATATCCACATGATGAAATGTTACCCATTAAACTAAATCTGTCAAAGAATTTATCCACATGGAAAAAATATTCCTATTATATGAACAAGGTTTAAAAGCCTAGAAGAAAAGACACTCAAATATTACATATTCTTAATTCTAGAAGGTGTTATTATAACATGATTAATTTCTTCCTTAAATATTATTTTCCAATTTTTCTAGAGACTGAAATTAAAAGGCAAAGAAGTTGAAAAAATGGAATTCTCAGTTCATATGAAGGATATAGAGATTACTAATAATTAAAATATATATCAGTTTCTAGGAGATATTTTTCTCATTAAGAATCTACACCAAAATATTAACGGGTATTAACTCTTAGTCAAATACTAATGATTTTACTTTCTCCTTTGATCGTTACTATAATTTGCTAAATGTTCCAGAATACATGTTCTATTTGCAATCAGAAATATATATATATATATATATATATATATAGGCTAAAATTGATAGATCAAGAATAGTGTATAAGCATATTATTTAAACATGGAGGTTAACTACCAGAAGTTACAAGTGGTTAAAAGTGATTCCTTTTGGGAAATTGCAATAAGAGGGTAGGTGGGCTGGACAGTCAGTAGGGAAATTGCAATAAGAGGGTAGGTGGGCTGGACAGTCAGCTCAGTTGGTTAGAGTGCAGTTTTATAACATCGGGGTCACTGGTTCGGATCCCTGTATCAGCCAGCTGCCAAAAAAATAATAAGAAAAGGGAAGGTGAGGGCAAGAGACAGCTGCTTTCCATCCTAGGACCTTTCATGCATTTTCTTTCCTTTTTTTTTTTTTGGAGCTGGCAGGGTACAACTTATTCTTAAAGTCAAACATGACTGTGGTAAATTTTTTTCAATTATTAAAAAAATTTATTTCTTCTAAGAATAGAAGTGGGGGCCTCTGAGAAACCTACTAGTTGTGATTACTAGTTCAGATATGGTCATTACATGATGTTCATTCTCACTCCAGAATTCTACTTACGCTAGTTATAAAATACAACTGGATTTACAGAAATAATTTCCTTACCTACACTGAAGGTATATTTAAAAAAAAAAAAAAAAGCATACAAAGTACAAACAGAAGTCAATTTATTTACAAAAATTACAATAATTACAAACAGTATAAATTTAGACAATCTCTCCCCTGTTCCTGTAATGGAAGCCAAGAGACTTCACTTTCAAATGAAGGTTTTTGTTATTTTAAACATGACACATATTCAGTAAGCCACTGCCTTTTTTAAAAATGCTTTTCTAAATAATTCCAGGGAGCCAATTAGTGGTACGTACATATACATGGGTCGCTTCCCTCAAATCTTATCTCCAGAACTATTTAAACAGTTGTACAAATGCAGCACAACTGGAACAGAACAGGGTTAAGACAGCACTGAACAAATAATCTTTTTTTCACAGTAAATTTTGACTATTCTCCAAATATTTGCCTAGTGGATTATCACTGAAACCATGATTTTTGACTTTAAAAAGTAAGTTCACTTTGATTTTCAATGGGCTGCACAATTCCACCATTGCCAATATTTACCTGGCTATTCTTTATACATTTGCAGTTTACATTTCCCTGCTATTGTTTAAGAAACAGAATTCCACAGTATTCAGTTCTGTACTCTTTTATGTTTTTTTAATCAGAGTCACTACTGCTGCTTGAGGAGTCCGTTGACATAACCTCCACATCATCTTCATTTTCTTTATTATGCCCAGGAGGTTCCAACAAAAAGTCATTACTGTGATTTGGTGGTAACATATTCATTGACATATCATTTGACTGCCATGGATACTGTGGAGCAAGGACATCTGGAGAAAAGAAAGAAGCATATATAAGAACAGTTCTATTTGTAGTTAATCTACTTCTTAATTATTCTTCCCTTTATGCAAATAATTTGAAGTAAAAATTTTTTAAGGCTAGAAATAAAAATACACATTTGATCAAATTAATAAAGATTAAACTTATCACAGAAAAGCATAATGTTTTAGCAACTAGGAACCTGTTTTTTAAAAAAATCATACCACTCTACAAGAAACTATTCAAATAACTGACATAATTTTTCTTTTGCAAGACATTTACAATTACAAATCAAATGGTTCCTATATCTATGTATATTTATATGCACATATATCATTATATAAATGAGGTCATATAGATTATTCTATATATTATAAATAGGTAACTATATCAACTACATTAAGTATTATAATAGGTTTGAACATTTCTTAGAAGATAGAGGAACTGCTATTGAAAACAATTCTGATCGAAGAGAAGTTGATTGGCAATGCATATATAAGAATATCTTACAAAAAAGTGCCCAAGTCACATTAAGAGTCTATATTTCTGAAAAAAAGGAACAGAACACATAAACAGGTACAGTTCAAGACTAAAAGAAAGAAGGTAGATTCTAAAAGGGTCAAAATAAAGTGTTATGATAGTAACTAAGTAGGTGTGCCAGTTCTCTTTAATCTACCCTTCTCCCTGGACCCTGAAACCATCTCCTCTGCAGGCTGCCACAATGTTAGGCTTTGCCAGTAGAGGGCGCCGGTGGGACTGCAGGAGTACCTGCTTGACTTCCTGGACCATGTGGTTTCTTCCCTTTACTCCCCTTGACTGCTGGTGTGCAGAACATCAAGTGCTGCTCACTTCTCAGCAACTTTCAGTCGCATCCCTGAGGGTGATTTTCCAGTAGGTTTCACCATAATCCCAAATTCCCAGTAAGTATCCCCAGAACACCAGTGGGTAATTTCCTGCTTGCCAGCTCTAGCCTGACAACTTACCTAATTTCTCTGCCACTAAGTAGACCTACACTATATCCTTTCCAATGAGGGCGCCATGATATGAATATCATCCTTGGGATGGGGGTGGGGAGGGCCCTCTTTAGTCAATCCTTGCCTTGGTCCTAGATGTAGTAGCTACTCCCTATATCTGTTATTCCTATACTTTTAAAAATTTGTTCTCTTTAACCCATTAGTAATACCTTGTTACTAGTTAATAATTCCTTAAATTTTCCTTGATACAATTACTGGGTTTTGTCTGTCTCCTGACTGGACTTCGACTGGCATAGAGTCCAGTACAATCACAATGAGAAAGATAAGGCAATATCCAAGGAAACTCATATATATGCCCAGTGAGCTCACCACTTTGTACTTTAGGTAGCTAACAAAAATGATGCATGCAAAACATTTTTAATATCACAGGGACATCCTTATAATGTTAAGCAAAAAGCATATTTTTAACAATGTAAAAATATTGGGGAGAGAAAAGGAACTAGGCTAAAATATTTAAAGTGACTACCTCAAAAAGGGTAATTTTTTCCTTTCTTCTGCCCTTTTCTATTTTCCAAATGTTCTACCACATCAAAACAAAACAAGTCACCTACAAAATATCAAAGATGGGAATAACATAAAATAGAATATAAAAACAGCACAAACCTATATAAAACTTGAGGAAAATCAAAGCTCAGAACAAAGCGAGTCCCACAAAAATGCTATTTTACAAAGTTATAAACAGTCTATGAAAACCTATTGCTATTCATTTTGTTAACTTGGGGGTTGTTCAGGAGTGTTCACTTTATTTTGGGAACTGAACGTCTGTACTTCTATTTATATAGCATGCTTCACAGTTGCAAAAAACCATGTTTAGAGCAATAATAATAAAAAAGGAGAAGCCCAATGCCTAAGGAAGATGGCTTAAGATTAACAAGAGGGAGAAGGCAGCTTATTCTAATTTCATAACCCCCATCTAGAACAGTTTTTAAGCTGGAATAAATAGAAAACAGGATAAATTGGCAGAGAGCCTAGCTAGATCTGGAACCTCAAACTTTTTTACAGCTAGATATCCCATCACTGTCATCTCTGAAAAACCTTGGACTATTTGAAAACATTCTTTGGAGTGACATTACCTGGTAGTCGGCCTGCTGCAAGTGCATCCCCTGGTAAGTGACCATTGACACCATTAGTAGAAGGATTGTTCATTTGACCTAATAACCCACTTCTCATCTCTAAATCAGTTGGGTATGGTCTCCGTGGGTCCCCTAAAACAATAAAGACTGCTTTAATTTGATCATATATTTTTTATTTATTTATTTATTTTATTTTTATTTTTATTTTTTTAAAAGATGACCGGTAAGGGGATTTTAACCCTTGACATAGTGTTGTCAGCACCATGCTCACCCAATGAGCTAACCGGCCATCCCTATATGGGATCCGAACCTGGGGCCTTGGTGTTATCAGCACCGCACTCTCCCGAGTGAGCCACGGGCCGGCCCTGATCATATATTTTTTAAAAAGCATTATACCCTCTTTGAAGAATTAATTATCCTTGGTTCACACTGAAAAACTCAAGCTGTGTTTTCAATTTTGGAATACGAAGGTCATCTTATCAATTGTTATTAAGAGCATAATATACTAATTTAAAAATATATGCATTTTAATTTTTTCGCTAAATCTTGCCAAGAATATATTAATCTCTATACGAAAAAAAAAAAAAAAAAGAATAGACTGTCATTATAGGAAATATTCCAAATGACAATTTAAGAAAATTATAACAATCTCCATTCTTCTAACTTAACTACATTTTCTAGTAAGAGAATAACACTGATATATACTCTGTGGGGAATAGCTCACAACACTTGTAAGACAGGAAGGACTGGAATGTTTATTGGAAGAACTGTCTAAATTAAAACCTTTTTCTAACCAACCTCTTTGATCTTGTCATTTAAAGATTACTTCCTATAACTTTCTAGTGGATTATCAGGAACAGGTAATGTTCATTCCAACCATGAAAGCAGTTTGGGGTTGATAAAAACACGGCCAGATTTGGACCAATTTTTTGATAATGTTTCTTACCAACTCCAGATTATTCACCCCTAAAGTTGTAGTTACGCTTAGTGCTTTTAGTATGGTAAAATATCACCTTCAGGAGTTACTGAAGTTGAGATAACTATCTCCCATTCCTCCAAAAAGGCTGCTGCTCTGCCTTAGGTCTCCTGTCTTGTGTTTTATCCACTGTCTATACAGCTGCAGCTTGTTACTGTCCTTGCTATTTCTAATTATCCCAGCTCTTTCCAGGCCTGTGTTTGCTTTTGGGTGCTAAGTGCTTCCTCTTTAGCACCAAAGAGAGCCGAGATTGTCTGTTTCTCCAGCTTAACCTTTGTGGAAATCCCATTGGCTCTAAAAAGTTGGCTTCTGGCTGGCCTGAATATACAGCCATATAAATCTATAACTTTAGAACAATCACATATTGTATTTTTTTAAATTATTAATTTATTATTTTTAAAAAATGCAGCCCCTAGTGGCTTTGGCTTTACAGAACACCATTTCTTCTAAGACATTAAAAATGTGAAAATATGTAGCAGGTGTTTCTAAGGATAAATGCATTCTATATTAAATCTATTTTTGTATATAGTGACCTAAGAATTTTCAAAATCACATATACCTAGTATAAAAGAGAAGTATTTTTACCTGGAACCCAGGTCAGTGGGGCACACACGGCATTACTTGCACTAATCCTATGTGCATACTTAATTATTTCTTCAGAGGAGATAGCACCTGAGAGAGTTAAGGGGATAGTGTAACATCTGTCTAGTGAACACACAACTTTAGAAGTGCATACATCATAATTACACATCATACTTAATTTTAAATTACCTGAAAATAGAATAATCCTTCCCTAACAATACCTGCATATATATAACAAACTTAAATTGAAAAAAAATATTTGGGAAATTAGCATGATAACGTTCAATAATATCAATTATTAACTATCATTAAATACCACTACTCTTCTGAAAACAACAGTAAGCACAAATAAAATAGACAAAACAATACTTCATTTCCTAATGATATCCACCCTATGACATCAGAGCACAGTTCACACTGCTCTGTTTGATAACATGGCCACAGCTCTAAGAAGACAGACACCTACAATGTATTCATGAGGTGGAAAGAAAGTAAGCTGCTAAGTCATATGTATAGCATGACCTGATTTTTGTTCTGTAATACATGTACATATACGTATTTGTGTTTTTTATTATAGACATATTCACAGATCTAAGAAAAAATCTGGAAGGACACACACCAAACATTAATAGTAGTTACCTCTGAGAAATGAGAACAACTCACTTTTCATTTTATAAACTTTAGATACTGTTTCAATGTAACAAGGCATTGTGTGTATGTATATAAAATGTCTGAAGACTAAAAACCAAACTAAACCATGGTCTACATTTCAGACAGCCAGCCTCAGTCACCTCTCTTGGGGATTTGTTTCCTGCTAGAGAAGCCTAGCCCATCTCTCAAGATATTAGCTGTTTTTCATATGTGACAATCAAAAAGTAGATTCCCAAAGAAACAGGAAGGAGGAAAGTTTAGACAATCAATCTGAAATAACTAAATGTAAATCATATCTACAAATCGTTAAAGGCAAGTAACCAAAGTTTTAATTGCAATTCTGACTTTTAGTATGCAAACAAAAAGATGCAGTGCAGTCCATAACAGATGCCTTTTAAAGAGGAACAGCAGGACAGGAAGGCATGCTGGGCCTCTACAACACCTAGTATGCTTATGTCCCAAAGCGACATCTAGTTCTGACTTTATAATGTTCCAGTCCCAGTTCAGTTGTCCAATGGATGTTCTCTTTCATTCTCTCTGTCCCAGCTTTTAAGATCAATTCAAATCCCACTTGCTTCCAGTGCACACTTCTCTTCTCTCCTTTCAACAATTTTATAAGCCGATTATCTTTATTGCACATTCAGGTACATAGCCATAAACTGCCTTCTATTATTGCTTCTTAAAACCTGAAAAAGGATGTGATACTTCCACCTTCCTAGTGACACCTAGCACAAAGCTGCAACATAACACACTTTACAATGAAAATTTATTGGAATCTTTTCAACAGAAGCAATGATTACCAGTAATACCCTCTCATCAGTTTCTTGAAACTAGAACTTGGATTTTTCAGGTCATTCAGTCGTCCCACGGTACTAACCTTTTCTTGCTTTTTCTATTGACTTGAGTTTCTCTTTTGCTTGGTAAACAGCTGTTGCCTAAACAACATAAAAAAGAAATATGGCTTATTCTTAACTATATCGAGCATAGTTTTTGGCTTAATTCACAAGGTCACTTATCCCACAGGAACATTTATTTGCAAAACTTGGAAATCCACATAATTTATTTGTAATGTTCTGAAATACCACTTGATATAATTTATATCATGGCTACATTTAACGAAAGAAAGAAATATTATATGCATGAACCAGTCTCCCATTCACAAATTAGTTTTTAGAAGCAAAATATAAATTGGACCATTTACTAACTTTTTTCCTTTATGTCTCTTATCACAAATTTGCAGATGAGATCCAGACCACATACCATCCCCAAAGCATTGTTCAAGAATAAAATAACTAAAAAAAATTATTTTTCTAGTTTACAAGATACATTCTTGGACTGATATTCTTATTCATTTTATATGGCACCTTGACGCTTCATGACTGTTATCAGGAAAACAGCCTCCACCACCCACCAAGGTACACTAAGGGCAAAATGAAGTCAAGCTAGTATATGCATATCCTCAACTATAACACAGTGGCTAAGAGTGTGACGTCAGAGAGATACAGGTTTAAGTTCCATCTCTCTATTTTTTAGCCTCCTTGCACAAGTTAGTTACTCATTTAAACTCTTGGTTTCTTCATCTTAATAATGACACCGACTTTATACAAATTGTTATGAAGACTAAGACAATGTATCTAATGTGCAAAAGCACAGGGCCTGCTGCCCAAGTGCTCAATGTTAGTTGCTACTATCTAAATCAAAATTCATTCTTATGGTCCTATGTTCACTGTCTTAATTTAATTCTTTAATTCAATAATTACATTTTTGGAAATCTAATCTAAATAATATAATCCAAAATGCATAAGAAAAAAATTTTATCTGCAACAATATTCAACATAACATTACTTATAACGCAAAAGTTAGAAAACTAAAATAGGATATAATTATATGAAAAATGCTTTAATAAATAGTAACTGAAAGTCTGTTAGTATCCTGCTAATTATAATAAAGTAAAAAATGAATACGCCTGAGATTAGAGGAAAAAGACCAAACTGAATAGCAGCACTCTTTGGTGGGATTAAAGGCAATTTTTTCTTTCTATTTCCTACTTTTCTATATTTTCTGAATTTCTCTGAAAAGCAAGTATTATTTTCATATGTAAAAGTAGATTTTAATATAAATATACTTTAAAAAGAGCATTTACTTGGGGTTTTTTCTTTAGTAGGGGTGGTTAATTTACCCTGAACCACTCATGTTTCTATTTATCAGAGACCGTTTTGACATATTTTCGAAGATGCCAGCAATGTCTGGTCCATATGAAAATAAAAGTCAGCTATTTCTGCAATACCACCATTGTAACAATTACATTAGTTAGCAGTTAGTGAAATAACTGGGTGAATAATAGCAAATAAATTGCCTCTTCAAATTAGCAGCCAAGAACAAAGGAAAAACTAGGGTCCTTGACATATATCCAAATCTCACCTAGCTTAAGATGAAAAACTAAATAAATTGATGTAAACTTTAATCAACTTATAAAATTAGTACATATTTTTACTGATTTCAAAATATTTTAAAAATGAAGATGTAGACTGTTAATAATTAAAAGGTATACCAGACCAGGATAAAAGTAAAACTTCCCACTTCTATAATTCAATATTGTGAAATCTTTAAATAATGAAAATGTGGTTCAAAAGTGGTGCAAACTCTGAAAACGATAAGCAAAAAAAAAAGGAATGACAATGGCCTTCCACTTATTTTAAACTTGGAAAGTCAAGTTTTCTGCCCTTTGAAATACTGATAACAGATTTATTTCTCAGAAATAGATTAAATGTTATCCTTTTTCACCTTAAGAACCAACCTGTCAACTTACCAGTATTTGTTCTGCTTCCTTTAGCTGTTTTTGTAGTTGCTGAATATCACTGTCTCTCTTCTCTACTTCTTTTTCTAAAACTTGCATTTCATGGTGAATTTTTCCTTGATGAAGTGCCAATTTCATTAGTTCTTGAAATTCCCCATCTCGGTGAATTAACAATTCCAGGACCTGTTGGATAACAGCTGATTAAATCAGACAATAGTATACTGAAAGGCTACATTCCAATGAAACAAAGAATCCATACCTAAATTGGCTAGGCTATAAAATTTTTTTTTTTTTCCTTTTTGTCTTTTTTCGTGTCCGGCAACGGATCACAACCCTCAGTGTCGCGCCCGTACCGGACCGAGACCGGCAACGGGATCGCAACCCTCGGTGCTGCGCCCACACCTCGCTCAGCCAGTGAGCGGGAACCGGTCTGTATGTGGGATCCGAACCCTCGGTGGGAGCGCCGCCGCGCTCCCAAGCGGCGCACTGTAGCAGTGCGCCACCGGGCCGGCCCCAGCTAGGCTATAAAATTTTAATAGTAGTGTACTTATGATTATTTTGGGAAATAGATTAATATCAAGATTTTCTACTTTTTCTGTTATTCTTTCACACAAAAGAAAATAAAACTTGTCTTTCAGAACTAGCAATATGCCAAAGCAAGCAGGTTTATTCACTTCTCAGGGAAGATAAAATTAAAAGTTTATATTTAAAAATACAATATAATGTAAGTTCTCCCAAAATTTGGTACTTGATACAATTTCAGGTGGCACCAAGAATTCAAAAAAAACTTTTACAGATACAAATCTGTCCTAATATATATTAGAAAAAATATATCTGAGAAATTAAACCACTGATTTCACACATAGACCATCTTCATTTTAAGCAATACTAAGAAATAGAATGATTTCAAAAAACAATAAATAAATAAATAGGTGATATTCAAATGTGGCAAAAAACCCATGAAGGTTAAAACGCATAAGGTGGAAAGTCAAAAAAAATTTAGCTGTGGTAAAAAACTATAATATAAAATTTGTCCTCTTAACCTTTTAAAAATTTCTGAATCAGAAAAAAAAATCTGTTCACTATAGAAAATTAGAAAGCACAGATACATATAAAGAAAATAAAAATTACCTGTAAATTCAATACCCACAAGATAACCTCTATTAACAGCTGTATGCTATTTTATTTCCATTCATTTTCAAGTTGTATTAGGGGAGCCAAGCCTACAATAAGGGGCTAAGTTTACTAGAGCATTAACTTTTTATTCTAAATACTGTGGGTTTTTTTTTTTTTTTTTTTTGAGACCAGCCGCACCGCACTCAGCCAGTGAGTGCTGTGAGCGCACCAGTCATCCCTATATAGGATCCGAACCCACGGCGGGAGCGCTGCTGCACTCCCAGCGCCGCACTCTCCCAAGTGCGCCACAGGCTCGGCCCTAAATACTGTTTTAATATCTTTTTAACAAGCTTTTGTTGGTTAATTCAAAAGTTAAAAAATAAATGTGTAACTATAATTAGAACTACAAGGGAAAAATAATAGAATACTGCTAAACCCTTAGGTAATTATTTTGTTCTTAAATACACTGTTATTGTCTGTAAATGATGCAGAGAAAATATCAATTCAGAAGTTTCAATAAATAATTTTAAGTGATCCAATCTTCCTGTTATCACATAAAGTGAATATAAGTAGGAAACTTGCACAAATTAAGAGGTTTTTTGTTTGTTTTTGTTGGGTTTTTTTTCCTGCTGCTCCCCATTTTGTTTTTTAAATTAAAAAAGAAACCATTTACCTGGTTTTCTTCTCCTGGCTGTAACAACTTTTGGTTTCTCGAAATTGCCAGCATTTCTATAAGTTCCCTGAAAGAAAAACAAACAAACCAAAAGAAATCTTTGCAACATAAATACAATAGAAGGTGTCTTAAAATGCTCCCTATCCAACTGACTTGCTGGATTCATGGTACTCACACAGCATGCTGAAAACTCATGGCTACTACCCCGCAGTCCACTATGTCTGTACTGCACTCTCACCAAGACTCAGTTGTGCTTGTTATCAAACTTATTTACACAAGTTTTACTTATTACTATACCTCTATAATTATCCACTACATAAATATCAATCTGATATGATTGTGAAGAAAAAGACTTCTTTCTATATAAACCTAAGCTGAATGCTTGGAAAGATTCAATACAGGTTTGCAAAGGACAAATGAAAGAACCAGGGAGGAGTCATAAAAACTCAGGAAAAATCTGCCCTAAGAATGGTAAGAGGCTAAGATCTCATTTCACTTTAAAGAAGCTAAACTAGAAATTGCAGACAATGCGTAATGAGTGATTTATGCAAGAAAAATTCCTATGTCAGAAGCCTGTAGGCCAAATCCAACACATCTGCAGTTTTGGTAAATAACATTTTCTTGAGAGACAGTCATGCCCATTGATTTACATATTGTCTGTGGCTGCTTTCTCACTACAAGGGCAGAGTTGAGACCATAATGGCCCCCAAAAACAAAAATATTTACTATCTGGCCTTTTACAGAAAGCTTCCTGATCCCTGTCTTACATGAAAAAATTAGTGAGTGAACATAAGTTTATATGTTTTAAGGTAAAATAAAACAATTAAGGAATGCGTTCATCATTTTAATGATTCTCCACTTTAACTGAACTTTTTATTAGCCAAACATTTATTAACTAAAAGAGATTCTTGTGTGTGTTTTTTTTGATTTGGCAGCGGGCCAGTATGGGGATCCAAACCCATGACTTTGGTGTTACAAGGCTGAGGGGTAATGAACTGAGCTAACCAGCCAGCCCGAGAGGGTTTCTTATACATAATAAAATTCTATCTTCCTAGAATGCTCTTTTAATAGTTATGCCAATTTTCCCATATGAAAATTAGTATCACATCAGGAAAATAAGTTCAGAAAAAAATGTATAACATAATATTTACACATTAGATTGAAACTTGTTGGTAGATGGGACTTTTCAGAAATTATGTGGACGGGGACAGCTTCATAACTGGCTACCTGACCCTGTTCTAGTCAGAGTGTTTGTACCTTGTCGCTGGCTACCATGCTATTTTTACCTTCATATTTCCACATTCTCTCCTGCGAGCTTCATACCACTTTACCAGATGATGCCAACTGGACCCCAGCTTCCCCACTACTTCCCCGTACCATTATGTATAAATTAATTTATGAGAAAAGTATTTATGAGGATGCAAAGTCTGCATTTACTCACTCATTCATCAAATATTTAGAGTACCTATTATGTGCCAGACACTTTCTAGATTCTTGGGTTATAGAAGTGAACAAAAGCACTTAAATTCTAATATAGGAGACAAGAATAACTAAGAGAAGAAATAAACCATAGTGATAAGGGTTGGGAAGAAAATAAAGCACCGCGTTACAACAGAGACTGTCAAGGTGGGATGGCTACTTAAATTGGTGGTCAGGTGACCTCACTAGGGGAATATCTGTGAGGTAAGACATGAATTAAATGAGAGAAGCCAGCCTTGAGATCTGGGAGGAAAGAATGCTCAGCAGAAGACACAGCTAGTTCAGTGGCCCAAAGATGGGTTTGAAGAGGTGTAGCCAGGGCACAGCAAGCACTGGGGAGAGGGATACAAAGTGAGGACAAAGGTAAATAGGTAGGACCAGATTATGTAGGCCCTTGTAATCATGGTAAAGGATTAGTGCTTCATTAAAGTGCAATGAGATGCCACTGGATTACTTTAAACAGGGAAATGAGGCTGGATGGTTAGCTCAATTGGCAGTGTGTGGTACTAATACCACCAAAGTCAAGCATTCAGATCCCCATACTGGCCAGCTGCCAAGAAAAACCCTGTTAAAAATAAACAGGGAAATGACATGACATGATTTACATTTTTAAACAACTGCTGAGCTATCTGGTGGATAGATTGTAAGAGGACCAGAACAAGGAGCAAGTTAGGTGGTTTTTGTACTGTTCCAGGCAAAAGATGACACTGTCTTGGACTTGGAGCTAGCCTCTAGGATTTAGTAATGGAAACGGGAGAAACATGGTCAGACTTAGGATTTTTTTTGGAGACAGAGTTGACAGACTTGCTGATGGATTAAATCGACACTGTATGAAAACAAACTGTCATATGAGCATTTTTCTGTACTCCGTAGATGAAACATAGACAGTTGAGAACCTCTGGTGTAAGTAAAAGCTGGTTTCAGGCAGAAAAGGGGTGATGGTGATTGGAGTGGGGGTATGGTAGGAGATGGAGAATGAGACTTGTTCTGTTTTTCTTGCCAATCTGGAGTACAAATTCACAGAAAGCTTTGACAGCTTGCCTTACGCACAGGAACATGGGGCAGGGAGAAATCTAAGACTTAGTGTTTTTCTTAACAGTCTAGGACAAAGTGGAAACTTCTGTTCTCTTCAATGCTGAAAAGACACTGATGGAACCCCTGCACCCACCCTGATTACAGGTGTTTAGATAAGAGCCCTGTCCTGCTACACAGGAAGGTGTATTCCTGGTGAGCCCAGTAAATTCATTTACTAGAATCCAGCCACATTTCCCCACAGAAATATAATTTACTTAGGGGTCAGAGCCTATATTATTAGTGTGCTACATTTCAGGTAAATTTTATGTAAATAGAATTAAGAGACTGGTGTAGAAACCTCAAGATTCCTATCAACATGGTTTGGTTTCCATGGTTTGGTTTGTAAGTTACAAGCAGGTTAAGAAAAAATTTTAGACTACAATCTGTGATTCTATTTCTTAAATTCTTCTAAAGACTGCCTCATTCTATTACATTTTACGAAGTAATAAATATACTGAAAGGCTATATAGCTTTAATAGTAAAAAAATATATCCAGCTTAATAGTAAAAAAATATATCCAGGCTATATAATCAGGTTAATAGTAAAAAATATATATCCTAAATTTCAAATCCACTATTTCCTAAAATCAAGAGGCTCAACATAAAAATAAGTAAGGAACATTAGTGAGGAGTTTTTCTTTTCATTTTTCATAAAATGCAAACCAGACACAAAATTCATTCAGAGAATAATGACAAACTTCACAGATCACCAAATGAGCATATATAACTATGTCTGAGTGAGCACACAATGGGACTCTTCTGAAAGCAAAGTGAACAGCTTTCAGAAATGAACTGGAACAGCTTCATTCTGTGAAGTTCCAATGAGCCTTAGATGGCAAACCAGAAAGTGACACCTCTCCACTACCACCAACCATCTCCAGAATAATAAAAGATGTAAATTTTCACTTACCAACTGCCACTTAGTCTTTCTTTAGAGATGAACAAATAAAATAATGTTGTAGATAAGTCATGAGAGAATCAAAAAAAAAAAAAAAAAAGGAAAAAAAAGAATTTCTAAGACAATGGCTATTAATACAGACTGCAGTGCCCCTCAGGAAAGAAAAAGTCTATCACCAATCTGTCAATAGATTCAGTAAGGAAATTAATGAGAAATCAAAGTCTTTTTGGCACTCCTGGAGAAAGGACAACAGGACAACAGCTTCTTTTAGAGGAAGCAAAAGAGAACTCAGCACCTCAATTGATCACATACAACTGGAAAGCTGAGAGAAAGTTTCAGAAACACTGAGTATAAAGAGGAAAAAAAATTTTTTTTTTTTTTTAAAAGATGACCGGTAAGGGGATCTTAACCCTCAACTTGGTGTTGTCAGCACCACGCTCAGCCAGTGAGCGAACCGGCCATCCCTATATGGGATCCGAACCCGGGGCCTTGGTGTTATCAGCACCACACTCTCCCGAGTGAGCCATGGGCCGGCCCTAAAGAGGAAAATTTAAACGATGACTCTCTACTTCAGTGGGTAAATACATTTCTCAAACAGGAAATACTCTGTAATGAAGGGGGAAAAAAATCGAACATGGAAAGCTATAAATTGCTTTATAAAAAATTCACATGCAAGAAAATTTCAATTTAGTCTAAAATTTAACATAACTGACAAATTAATTATGCTATGTCAAGTGAAGAGTACATAAATATCAAGTATATGTAACCCTATAGGTACCAACAGCATCAGGAAAGCACATTTCTGATACACAGCCCAGCAGTCAAACAATCCAAAGGCAAGATCTCAAGACTGACTAATGGGTTGTCTAACATCAGAAGGATTTCTCAAAGACCATTACCCTGGATGGGAAGGCTCAGAAGAATAGTTCCTGAACTTGGTGAATATGAAATATGTACTAGGATTATTCAGCAAAACAGAAAAAATAAATTACGGTACAGAAAAGAAATGAATTTACTGGGCTGAAGAGTAGAAGGATGAATAGTAATAGTTTGTTGAATATACTGAGGCAAATAGTTTAAGTTCTAAGAACAAGACCTACTCAGAACAAAAGACAGCAGCCACTACTTCCAAAAGGGGGTATCACTTCTTCACAAAGACAACATATTTACAGGAAAATTAATTTCTACCATTCACACCATATGGTTGATCAAAATGAACAAACAATAAGGAACACTTTAACTCGACTGATTCCACACTCACGGGCACCATCAAGATTCCTTAGCAAAGATGTTAGAAGCCAACAAAGTTTCAGACTTATCCTTCAGGTGAGAATTCTCCCAGAAGAATTAGTTCAAGGTAATATTCCAAGCAGAGCATCATCCAGATTCAAAGAACTAGAAAAACTGGCTCATACACAAGCAACAGAGGTATGTTCCAATTAATTAGTTGTTCTAAATCCAATGGAACACAAATTTGTGTCAGAACTACATGGGTACCTCTTCATGGTTTTTCAGAGACTGAGTTTCGCCAACCAATGATTCTAAAAGCACTGATTAGGTTGAGCACAGAGTTTTTCAAGTGAAAGTCGTTCCTATTTAGAGAAGTAGTGGGCTAGGTAGCATTTATGGGATGTTAATTTGGAGTTTAGTAACTTACAAAGAATAAAAACTCAATATGAACTAAATGAAGCTTCAACTAGCTGTCCCAAAGATAATCATGTCACACAAAACAGAGACATAATTTAACTGAAAACACCACACTACAAATACCCTCTCTAGATAGTGTCTTTTTAATAAGAAATAATGTGGGAGTGCACTTAGGATTAACTAACGAAGAAACTGAGACGTTCTCCACCACAAACTACAAAACCAACAAAGACCAAGAAAGAAATAGAACTTACATTAACCCATGCAAACATTTACACAGAGGCAATATAAATAACTTACAGCTGCCTCAAGACAGCTGCCTCGTGCCTGAGTTTCTTGTTTGCTGTATTGACCGACTGGCTGAAAATTCCATATGCCCTATTTGTCTTCAATCAGTATTTGAATCTAATACAATTTAAACGTGGATTAAACACATAAACCATTTAACTTCTGGTATCTGTGTGTGTTTAGGTCTTTCTTCCATCATTTAATATTGTACTGACCTAGTAACTCGGTAAGTAACGCTGTGGCAAGGACTAAATTTACGGCAAAGACAAAATGCTGATTATAAGTACATGGGGTATACTATAAAATACGTTAAGATTTATTACAACACTGTCAAAGAATGTTGGCTATAGAAAAGGTGACACTGAGCTGGATTCTGGAGGATGAACGAGTCATTCATCAAGTCGGAGGTGGAGTGGGAATGGCACCGAGGATGAGGAAGTGTGGCTGGCTTTAGAACGGGAGTACTCACAGAGGCTAGAGTGAAGAGTAAGAAACAGCAGCGGAGTGTAGCACGCGAGCATAATAGTATGGATTGAGAGGAGATGGAGAACGGTTTTGCGGCATGCTAAACTAAAAAATTTAGATTTGGGGGCCGGCCCGGTGGCCCACTCGGTAGAGTGCGGCGCTCCCGCCAAGGGTTCGGATCCCATATAGAGACCAGTCAGCTCACTGGTTGAGCGCAGTGCGGGCGCGACACCGAGGGTTGCGATCCCGTTACCGGTCACGAAAAAAGACAAAAAGGAAAAAAAAAAAAAAAAAGAATTTAGATTTTGTCTCACTGGACAATGGAAATCTACCAAATATTTTTCAGCAGAAAAAATGATATGAGATGCCTTTCAGAACGGTAACTCTGGTCTTGAGCAATATAGAAGAGCAAAGTGCAGAAGCATGAAGGCAAGTAAAACTGTTGAGAGGGTGTATTTAAGAAAGTTATGACAGCAGGTATTGGAAAGAGGGCAAAATCCGAGCAACATTTTAGAAGGTAGAACCAACGCAATTTAACTCTCACGTTAATGTGAGGGAGTTAACAAAGGCTCCAACTTGAAAGACGTATCATGAAAGGTGACAAAATGTGGAGAATGTCAACCAATTTCATTTCCTATCTCTGCCACGCACGCTACATTCTAGCCATCCCAAACAACTTGCCGTTCCACCAAGTCATTCGTGCTTCTGTTTCCAGGCTTTCGACGTGCTATTCCATCTCCCTGTCGCCTGGCGAGTCTGGTGAACTCATTCTTCCTAAACAGCCCTTTCTCCAAGAAGCCTGCCCTGACTACAACCGAGAAAGCTGCCTGGTCCCTGTGCTGCAGTAGCCCAGAGAGCATCCCTCTAATAAAAACGGGCCCCGCGTCAGTCACTGCTTACACATCTGCCTCTCCCTCTCGACACTGGGGTACCCCACATCGGCGTCCAGCCTCCCCTTCACCACGGTCTCCCCAGCGCTTTGGTACCCAGGGGGCGTTCCATAAATGTTTGCCGAGTGTCCGTGGGCGAAGAGGCTCAATCCAGCGATTTCTTAAGGTCCGCTACGACTACAATCTTGGGGTTCCAGAGTCGCTGTCATTAGTAAAATGTTCTCTAGTGGGAAAAAATGCCACCCAGAGTCACCGGAGACTCCCGAGCTCGCCGAGCGCAAACGCAGGGCCGGCAGGTTCCGGAGTCAGTCCGCCGGCCCAGCCCCAGCCAGGCTCTCAGACCGGCGGCATTACCTTGACAAGACCTCCAGATCTTCAAGCGCTGACAACAGCCGCTCTCGCGTGCTGTTACCGCCCGCGGCTCCCGAGCCGCATCCCAGTCGCTCCTTCTCCTTCTCGCCACTCGAAGACGCAGCCATGCCAACCACAGGCGAGCAGCCGGCGCGTGCGCAACTGTGCGCTAACGCCAGGCGAGGCGGAAGGAAGGCTCAACGAGGCGAGGGAAGAGCGGTCCTGTTAGAGCGCCCCCTGCGCTCCTGGAGGTGCACTGCGGGCGCCGGCGCCATCTGCTGGGCTAACAGGACCTTCTCAAGTGCAAACCCCGGGAGCGACTGCTAAACCGAGAGCAGGAGGCACACCGAGGCTCTGCGCCTAATATTTTACAAACAGCAATGAGAGGCTTCTGCTGAACGATTTTTAAGCATCTGAGGGAATTACATGATGGCCTACCTCTTGTGTCAGTTTCTTCGTGAGATCTGCTGGAGTCTCGTCGGTATTCACCTGTCCTTAGCGGGCATTCCTATAACGCTGTTCCATCCCTCCTGTTCAGCCTCTCCGGAGGCTGTAGGAATCACCTTAAGACAGAAACGATAATCCATCTTTTGTGTCCAATTTTCTTTTATTGTGATAAATACATAAATTTTACTTTTTCTCCCCAGTTTTTACGGTTTTATTTAAACAGAAATAAAATTGGGATTGGTGTCTGCGATGCCCGCTGGGCTGCTCTTTCCACGATGGCCTCTCGTTCTTGGAGGAAACGTTGTGAGCCGTGTCAGCGCAGCAGGATTTGTTGCATATCAGCAGCGCTTCCAGCTCCTTGACGATGTGGACCAGGAACTTCTGGAGGCCACTAAGCAGCATGCGCTTTGTTTTCTTTGTGCTCCCATAACCAATATTTCCGCCAGTTATACTTAATTTTGACATATCTGTCTGACTCGTGTTGGATAAACTTCTTTTTGTTTTGTTTTGTTTTTTTGGCCTTTTTTTTTTTTTTTTTTTTTTTTTTTTTTT